CAAAACGTTTTCAGTGAGTTTATCTTATTTAAGTTTTTATTATTGTTAAATTACAAATGTTACAAAAGAAAACAAGGAAAAACATTGTAATAATGTTTGTAATTTGTGCCATTTGATAAAAAAAGTTTCAAACTTTTGCAACGTTAAAGCCGAATTAAGGGGCCTATTTATTTATTTATTATTATTATTATTATCGTTGTTATTACAGTATTTTGACTGACAGGACATTCAAATCACAGGATGCTGGCAAAATCAAGATGTAGACATTATGGCCACTAGGTGGCAGAACTTAATTACTTATGCCTTCAGGGTTAAAAAAAAAAAAAAAAGCTCCTGTCTGAATGAACAATTGTCCTTTGGAATAATACACACCTAATAAACATTTTTTAAACAAAAAAAAAAGTGTTCATTAAAACAGGAATCAAGTTTTTCCCCCAAGTTTAATGTCGTCTGTAAATTTACACACTGATCTTATCACACACAAACGAGACACAAAACGACTATAACTGTTCCAGACTTCCTCTCATACCTGTTCACAAGCTCTCACTCACAGAGAAAAATACAAAACAGCCCGTCCTCTCAAACTAGGCCAAAGAGCAGCTGATACAGACATGTAACCATGGTGACCAGGTGACGTCTCACATTCCAGCTTGAGCTCTCAGATTTCAGATGGGAGGCCAGTGGCCAATATTCATGTTCCTCCATCATACTGACAAAAACAATGCCAGCCTGGGAAAATGGCAATGGGTTACTGATCAAAAAGCCAGGCAACTATTAAAAAAAAAACAGAGAGGAGAGATATGTAGTCAAAGATGCACAGGTGGGCATCCTTAAATTTCCTGTAACAAATCCACAACTTTCCCATGGCATGACCAGTCAGCGATCAAGTGTTTCCTTGTCGCTTAGACTGTTCTTATAAGTTGTGTGACAGCACAGAGCGCTTTAGCCTCAAGCTACAGGCCAATCCATGCCAGGCATCCTTTTTTTTCTTTAAGCTAAAGCCTGTGGAATGCTGGGTAGGCAGATGACGACTGGCGGCTTGGGTCTGGTAACCCAAGGGGAATGTAGAGCCCTCAAAGCAGAGTGTGCCGGCCAGTCTGGCGGCATTCTTTACACATAAATGCGCACACACCTCAGAAACCCACACAAACAGTCCACATCTCTTTCCGCACAACCGGTACGTCCGAGCGTATCTTTTGGTGCGTGAACAGCGTTAGCAGTACTGAGTGTCCTTGTATTAAAAATATCACCAGCCTCGCTCCTCATCAAACATTAATGAAAGCTGGTCTATACTTACTACGTCATTTCCATGTCTGGAGCACTACGAAACATTTTATGTCCCTACCATGTTGTATTGGGAATCTAAATTGAGCGAACAACAAAAGATGCTCAAAGGGGACGCTTACATCAAATGTCTACCAATATGTTTTTAAGGCAATTATAGCTTAAAGCTTTATTTTATATATACAGTGGGTACGGAAAGTATTCAGACCCCCTTAAATTTTTCACTCTTTGTTATATTGCAAAAAATGATTCACCGTTCAGTTGGAGTTGCAATTTTAATAACACCTCTTAACAGTTCACTGAATGACTGAGCTTGATTCAAACCACTAAATTACATTTGATGAATCTTCTTACTTATTTTTCATAAGAGTCTTTTGTTCACTCTACACCATCTTACTTTTGACCCTTGCCGCTGTTGTCCAGACTACAGTTATAATTAAAATGCATTTATTTATTTATTTGTTCATTTGTTTGTTGCATTTGCGACTATTTTAGTCACAAACTAGAGCCCTGTTTTGTATTGTTTCATCAGGTGTTAGTTGCTTTTGGTCTGACCAGAGAACTAAACACTTAATCAAAAGTTTGGGTTGGTAAAACTTTTTTACATTTTTGAAAGACGTTTCTTATGATAATCAAAGCTACATGTATTTCATTTAAAAAATACAGTAAAAAGAGTAATATTGTGATTAATAATTTTCTAATTTCATTCCTGTCATGGCAACCTGAATTTTCAGCAGCCATTACTCCAGTCTTCAGTGTCACATGATCCTTCAGAAACCATTCTGATGCTCATTTGGTGCTCAAGAAAGGTTTTTATTATTATCAATCAGTCTTGAAAACAGATGTACATTGCCTCTTTAATTTAAAATAGTACATTAATTTGGTTTTAAATGTTTGTATCACCATTACTGGTGCTTTGTGATTTGAATGATCACTTTGTTTCATAACACTCTGAAGAAGACCTTTAGGGTACAACAGGAATGTAAACACCTGAGATGCACAAGGTCAGAGAACAAAAAAAATAGTTGTGATTCCAGACAGGTACGATCAGCATGCTTGCTCATTCTGCTGACATGACCGAGGTATGAGGGACCTTTTCAATTTAACACGACAGAATGACTAAGATCTGTCCTGTTAAGAGGCTGTCTTTTCATTTTGTCACAAAGTCACTTATCTCTACCGACTGGTTATTTCCGGCTTAAAATGGCTCTAAAGGGCATAATTTGTACAGCAAATTTTCATATTCTTGCAGTGAAATGTGTCCAGAGGGTGTCTGCTTCGCTTGAGATATGAGTAAGAAAATGAGTAAAACATCTATCACATAATTTCTGTTTCCGAAAGATATGCCCCCTTCCTCAAAAAAATCAGGTCATGATGACAGCAATTTCTCATAATTCAAGTGAGCTTCACCCCTTTTTCCCCTGAATATACAAGGCCAAATGAAGAGCAGAGGTGGGAGTATTACATATCTTATCAGCTTGTACTAACCAGACCTCTCTTGAATAGCTCACATTCTTAAGCATTCATCACCTAAGCAACAACAAACTTAAATAAACCTGGTTTTGAAAACGAATACTCTGTGGGTGAGTATAACAGTCCCATTCACCTGTTTATACTGTAAACACCAGGTTAATAGGAGCAAAAGCTCCCATCCCCTCCACCTCGTTCCTCCTGCGATGTGTCAGACGTGTCTTCCTGTGACGATAGAAGATTACAGTGAGTCATTTAAAAAAGGACGACTTAAAACCTTCCAAACTGCTTCTTGAGTTTCTGCTTCTCAGGTAAAAGTCACTCAACAGACTTTAAGCCTCAGCAGGTACTTATCTAACAAACATCTGGTTTGACAGGTTAAATACTTTGGGTATGAGTGCATGGATGAGCCAGAGGAGAGAACATGCTCAGGTGTCTGACAGACATTTGAAAATTCTCCAGGCATTTCATTTCCCCAATTAAAATCAAATGTAGACGAGTATAAATATGTTAGAGGAACCAAACAGGAGAGTCCAAAACACCAACCTTTTCCAAATACCTTATGGGTCAGCTGAGCCACCAATACCTATGTGAAAGAGAGACGCATGTATTCAAACTTCATTTCTCCGCTATATTCCAGGAAATTGTTGGGTCTAGACCAAATGCAGAATAGATCAAAACACTGACCGTTGCGATGAGCAACCAGGATTTTCATCTCCCTCCACATTCCTGCATTCTTCTGCTTTCCATCATCATCCGAGCTGGACAGAGGCCCGCGGAGAGGGTGTGCGGAGCAGAGACTGGACACACAACAAGAGAAACACTAGAAAGGGAAGCTTTAATTAAGACCAGCGGCTCAAATAGACTAAAAGGAAAAAGATGAAAAAACGAGGGGGGAAATCTAGTGAGTAAATGTCACATTTTTGTACACAGGCAGGCTTGTGTTAAGAGTTTCTCCATTAAAGTGTTAGAACCTGTTAACAGTACACTGAAATGCTAATGCATTTTAAGTGTTCTTGTTTCTAATATTTTCTAAACATTAATGATTGCTCTTCTCAGAATCATATGAGGAAATGTACTAATTATAGCAGCTCTGGTATTAAATCATTCAGTGAGAGAAAAGGCAGACACTTTAAAGCAGTGGCTCTCAGCCACGAGTCTGGGATCCACTAGGGGGCCTCAGCAAACATCCAAGGGGACCACAGGATGACTTAAAGATAAAAAAAAATGTCATCATTTACTCATCCTCAAGCTGTTCCAAACCTGTGTGAATGTATTTCTTCTGCTGAACACAAAATAAGATATTTTGAAGGTTGATGGTCCCCACTGACTTCCATAGTATGGAAAAAATAATAATTTTCATGCAGGTTTGGAAAAACCTGAGTAAATAATAACAGAATCTTTTAAAAATGTACTTTAATTAAAATGTTATTAACACATATTATTATTATTATTATTATTATAAATAAATTATAAGAATTTAACTTAATTAAAATGCTAGAGTACATAAAGAGCCAATAGATCATATTTATTTTGCTTTAAAGAAATAGCGATGAGTTATCAGATGTCATGAGCAAATAAAAATCTCATGATAATTTTGCAGTGAGACCAGGGCTACTTCACAGAAAGATGTTGTCACAAGGTAACATTTTAGATTTGTCTGTTCGTTTGTATTTCTTAATTATTTTACTAAATGTAACATTTATTAAAGGCAGGTTTCATTTTAAAATTGCCCTATATAGTGGGACAACATGCCCCAAAACTAAATGAGGTTTTTGCAAAAGGTCAACATGTGGCCAATATTTCTATAGAAATTGCCTTTCTAATAAACCTACCTTGAGCAACAACTATAATATACATATGTATATGTATAAACCTAAAAAGTGCGACAACTAGCCCCATTGTCCCCTAATATGAAGTTTTCACAGCAGCCCCTGTAGGGATAAAGACATCATGACTTTGGGAAGCAACCACCACATAACAAACCAAAACTGTTTCCTGTGGATCTTTCCGTTGAGTGGAAATTTTGCTAAACTGTCTGTTAATAGTCGTGATGTCATTTCTATATTGTTATTAATATCTTTTAACACAATGAGGTCCTTGAGTCATACGGAATTTTTACATCCCACCCTGAGAGGTCAGGCTTACATGTGATACTACGCACGACCACGCCTTCTAGCGGCGTTCCGCCTGACGTCAGTGTTATTGAAAGCCGCTGGCCCCGCCCACCGCCGGGAGAACGGCTCTAAACAAATCAGTCCGTGCCTGTGAAGCAGTACTGCGGATCGCGACTGTCAGCTCACTCATGCTGCGCACACGATCTCTGGCTGCTGACTCCTGTATCTAGGGGCACTCTCGTGCGATACTGCCCGTGGGAATACACATATACCGCAAACATGTCACGGCATCACAGGACGCCGCTGAAAAACGAGGAGAGCGTAGTGGAGGTGAAGAGCAAAGTAAGTGAATCCCATAAATGTTGCATTAGGCTGCGTTTGACAGCGTGCATATGTAAACACTGCTGTTTACGCAGCTCTCCGCGGGAGCGTGTCCGTAATTGGAGGGTTTTCAATCCGGCGCATCAGCGTTGGGGTTTGTGTACTAATCCATCCATAGAAAGAAACGCTGATGGTGCTGTACGTGTCAGACTACGAGGCGCGAGACGAGCGCGTTTGGCTGGGATCATTATGACAGCAGGTCTCTGTCCGGTCCGTGTGATGTGATACGCGGTGCTGGTGCAGTGTGAAGGATCCTACCGATAGACAGACGTGCGCAATGAGGCGATTGGGCCCTGTTGATCAATTATGCATGTTACATACCAATAAATAACAAAAACCGAATCCCGCAGCCCAGGAAGAATCAGATCCTAATGATGCATCTGAGAGGCATTAATCATATTAGCAGAGCCGTGTACTACATAAACTCGATAAGACGCTGGTTTCTATTTCCAGGCTAAATTCAACTGTTTTTCTTCGATTACAACAAGTAAGCAGGTATTAATAAGCAATAACACAAGAACAAAAGTGCATTTGTTTGGAATACAGCTGGTACGAGGCCACAGGTAATTATAACCTTGTTGATATTCAGTGCTACAGAACCATTGCCAGTGACGTTGCTCTATAAATATTGAAATATCCTATGCTTCAGACAGATATTGACCAGTTAATTAATGTATTTCTTATCTGCGGGTGAATATAGTTCCAAAAGAGTGTCACTATGCAATGCACACTAAAAGCCGGACTGGATCAATAACTGTGAGTGGAGTGTAGCAGCCCCTTTCTGTTATCAGCCAGCTCCAATACCACTCCGGATTTTTTATCTCGTGCTACAAGAACACTGAAATGTGCTGTTATACTAAATATCACCAATTTTTTATAGTGGTTCTCAACCTTTATGACTCTAGGGCCCCCATTGTCTACAACAATATTCAAAGGCCCCATGACTTTTCAAGTTGTCCTTGATTTACTGGATAGGGATTAAGTTAAAGTATTTTTTACAATGTTTTTAACTTACAACTTCTACCCAATAAAATATTTTAAACCTTGTATATTTATGGAATATATAAAATACTGTTATTAATTTACATTATTTTCCAGATTTGCTGTGGCCCCCTAGTCAGCTCCTGCCTCCTGGTTGAGAACCACTGTTGTATAATAGTACTCGACAACTGTATAAATTAAAATGTCATCGTGATAAATCTGAGGTCATAGATGCATAAAAAAGGCCTCATTTATGGGAAGAAACACTCTTTACTACATTACATCTGATGGTGCATGAATGAATATTAACAGACAAACAGCTACAACTACTGATGTATGTTTAAAATATTTCATATATTTTATGACGTTTCTCATGGCCTCTATAATTACTAAAGACACAGACCACTTATTGTTGGTGTCTGGTGTATTGGAGTTGTTTGTTGTCAATGCGCCCAGTATGCTTATTGGAAAACCTCAACCACAATCTGCCAAACAGAGCAGGATATGTTTTATTATCCCTCCATTCTTGAGAAATGTTGTGTGGGCAGTGCATAGATGTGTGTGAAAGAGGAGAACAGTAAACAAAAGAGAGCTGTTTAGTAAGATTCCATTGAAGTACCAGGCCTGTATGTAATATAGTGTCTTTTTTATTATTATTTATGCGTGAACTGGCTAATTTAATCACCTGAATTCTTCTTCCCGAGGTTTTGGTTTTCATAACAGGCAGTGCAGTGTGTTTGGTGACACTCTTTTCTTCCTGAGAGGAAATTGGAGGGAAATGTTTTCTTTTCTACTTTTCTAGCTCTTGATGGGATCCTGTCTCATATTATCTATCACTTACTCATTGCAATGGCATTTTTAGTGAGCATGTAGTTTAAGGTTTGCGTTTAACAGTTCATAGTGATGTCTTTTCTCCAACAGGCTATGTTTTCATTGGTTAAGTATGACAGGTATGGCCTTTTTATCTGTATTGCTATGGTTACTGTGGTGATCCACAGTCCAACAGCATTTCTTTTTTTTCCCACCAGTTTTTGCTAGATAAGATGGTTATAGAATAAGGTGTTGATTCTTGTTATAAAGGGGGAGGTAATGTAAATGTTTTCAATTGGGATGATAATGTATATATTATGCAATCAATGTGTGTGAAGAAAAGTAAATGTATCAATAAAACTATTTACATTTTTATCTCTAAAATGCCAGTCCTTTTACTGACAGATTTACATTTTACCTCTGTAATGTGACAAAGGATATTTAACAAGAAAAAAAATGTAAGACCTGATTTATCTTGATTTATTAAAAAGACATGCTTTTTTCTCTTTTGAATAACTTGTGCAATTAATTGTTCACAATAAGACCACGGATGTATACTAACTAAGAGAAGACATGTAATCTAACTTCTCTTAATTTCAACAGTATAAAAAAAGATGAAAGTATTAGAGAGAAACGTACAGGATTAGAGATGACAGGATAGAAACACCTTTTTATTCAAATATGTCGCTGATTATCACATCTAAAGGATTTCTTTGCTTTCCTGTAATTTAAGAACCAATATCCTTGTTTCTTTTTATCTACCACAGGAAAAATCCTTTGACATTATTTTTGTGAATGGGCACATGGCCCTAAGAAAACGCCGTCTGTGACCTACTGAATGACTCCACATTCAAATGATCTCCAATATGACCCTGTATATTTTTCCACTAATATTCTCCATCTCCATATGTAAGGTATTCTCCATGGATACAGGAGAAAATCATTGGCTTGGATGCAATTTCTCCTCATAACCTGAGCAACCTGACAGATTTTGTCCAATATGTTCAGCTGAGCTCTTGAGATGAATTTCCCATCCGCTCAGAGTGTGTGTGTGTGTGGTCTGGAGAAGCTCAGCGTTTTAATGCCACTGTTCTCATCTTTCCCTTTATCTGTAGCACTTGATTAGATTGACCCTCCCTTTGTTCTTCACTGCTCTTTTTTTACCTTAATGGCTTCCTCCGAGCTGCAAGTACACATCAAACAGCTCTGCAGCTGCAGGAGCATGTGAAATTGGTACAAGGAACTGGCACTGAATGTGTCTGCAGACTCTTCATGCAAAGATGCATCTGTGTGTAAAGTCACTGTCCAAGTTTCAATTGGAAAATCACATTCACATATCTTACAGGGTCATAATCTGTTGAAGTCATAATTGATCTACCAAGCTAAGTGCTGGGCATTAAGAGCCTGTTGTGTGTTTATTGACATAGTTTAATATGATTGTGGTTGTCCTGCAGTTTGAGGCGGAGTACCGAAGGTTTGCCCTGAAGAGGAACGGAGCCGGGGGCTTCCAGGCATTCTACCAACTGCTGCAGACAATTCACCGGATCCCCGGAGTGGATGTGTTGCTGGGATATGCTGACATCCATGGAGATCTACTTCCAATCAACAATGATGACAACTTCCACAAAGCACTGTCCTTGGCCAATCCGCTGCTTCGGATTATCATTCAAAGGAGAGGTAAGTTGTTATGCTGCATGTACATCACAAAGAGGTCAACGTTTGATGTTATTTTAAAGCTTAAAGGTAAAGTGTGTCAATTCTACACTACCAAATGGAATTGAAATCGGGTTTGTGTGGCTGATCTCAACAAGAACCAATCGTTTGAGTTTGGGGAGGGGCTACCTGTTTGTCCGACCAATGAACTTGAACCAATAAACCAGCAAGTTTGAGTCAGCAACATTTTAATGTCTCTTATGCGCACCAAAGATGTATTTATTTGATAAAAAATACAGTAAAAACAGTAATTTTGTTAAAGGGGTCATATGATGTTGCTAAAAAGAACATTATTTTGTGTATTTGGTGTAACGAAATGTGTTTATGCGGTTTAAGGTTCAAAAAACATTATTTTCCACATACTGTA